GACTCAGGGCGGTGAACAGCCATAAAATAAAACATATAAGTACAAAATTTAAAATAGAGATAAAACAAATTAAATAAATTTGGCTGAACCATTTTAAAACCCCAATTTAAAACCAAATTTAAAATTCCCATTTAAAAAGAGGAAAAGTTTAGGTCAGGCCAGCTTGATGGAATAGAAAGGTCTTAAGCGCGCGGCGGAAGGTACGCAGATCCGGAATCCTCCGTATCTCGGGGGGGGAGCTCGTTCCAGATAGTAGGTGCCCCCACAGAGAAGGCTCTCCCCCAGGGGCCGCCAGTCGACATTGTTTGGCCGACGGCACCCGGAGGAGCCCCTCTCTATGGGAGCGTACTGGTCGGTGGGAGGCTATTGGTGGTAGCAGGCGGTCCCGCAAATAACAGTGGATAACAGTTAACAGAATTAAAGAGAGCTTGGACATGGACTGCTTGTGGGAACTTAATGATTCTAGGCTTATTCCCCTTTTGACTCCACCTCCGCCTGTCCTCCTACACCACTATCTACAACCCTGGTGGTTTCAAGCAGTCCTAAGGTGTGTTTCTCCAGATGTGTTAGGAAGAATTCATAGCTGAGTGGTGGAAGGTCCTAAATTTAATCCCCAGCATCTTCAATTAATCCTGGAAAAAAAATCTCTGCTTAAAACCCTGAAGAATCTGCTCACCAATGTTTTGCTTAAATGAGCCAACGATCTCATTCATTATAACTTCTCATCTTCCCTCTGCTTCATCCCAAGAACAAATTGGTTTTGGAAGATGGAAACTATAAGCAGTTAAATTAATGATGGCTAAGCTAATAACATATCAAGATGCTGACAGCCATTTTCAGCCTTTTGTAAAATATGTCGGCTCCTGGGGGGTCTCTATTAATGATAACTCTTGAAATAGAATGTGAGCGATATTAGGATTTCCATTTTAATCAACTGAATTCTGAATTTCTAATGCTGGCTATTTTTTTTTTTTCTAGTCAGGGAAAAGGTGTTCAATTGTAGCATATTTTAATGTGCTTAGGATGTTTGTCCTATATGTTCACACCTAAGGAGAAAAGTAGGGATCTCTCCAATCCAAGGAAGCAGATCTGAGACGATCTACTATCTTGAAGTTTTTTTAACCCCTGTGCAAACACAACTGGGAAAGACAATCAAAATTTCCCTTTTTTCTTTGCAAGAAAGAATAGAGTAGAGTAGAGTAGAGTAGAGTAGAGTAGAGTAGAGTAGAGTAGAGTAGATAGTAGAATAGAGATAGAATAGAATTAGAATAGAATAGAATAGAATAGAATAGAATAGAATAGAATAGAATAGAATAGTCTGGAGCCATAGGATGGGATGGGATGGGATCAGAGGAGGTATTCAGCTGGTTTGGACCAGTTTGCCCGAACCAGTAGCAAAAATCAGGTGGGCCTACCCCAGCTCTATGCCATCCTATTTAGGCACATTTTTGAGGCCGGGCGCATGCATGGAAGGCAGGTACATGCGGAAACTGGACATATGCATGCATGAAGCGAGTGTGCGTGCATGCGGCGAACTGGTAGTAACATTATTCAAAACCCAGGACAGGACAGGACATGACAGGACAGGACAGAACAGGTCAGGACAGGACAGGACAGGACAGGATAGGATAGGATTCTTTATTGGCCAAGTCTGATTAGACACACAAAGAATTTGTCTCTGGTGCATAAGCTCTCAGTGTACATACAAACAATAAAGTGATAGGTCATATATCACAGTTACAATCATTAATCATAAGTTACAATAACAAGGGATACATCATCAATACCAACAGGGGAAGGTATTAGGAAAGATGAGAAAATGAGAAGGATCATATCAATACAGCCTACAACAGTGATGGCTAACCTTTTTGCCGTCACATGCCAAAAGCAGGGGTCGCGCGGGGGGATCGTATGCAGGCTTGCCCACACCCATAATTCAATGTGCCATGCCCCCACCACGCATGCACATGCGACCCCTCCTGCACTCCTCCCACTTTTGGCACATGATGGCACAGTGGGCCCGGTAGGCCTTTTTTTCGCTCTCCCCAGGCTCCAGAGGCTTTCTTGGAGCCTGGGGAGGGCGAAAACAGCCTTCCCCACCCCACCAGAGGCTCTCCAGAGGCCAGAAAAAGCCTTTGCCCCAACTTCCGGTGGGCCCAGAAGGCCCAAAAATCAGGTGGCTGGCACGCACATGCACGCTGGAGCTGAACTAGGGCAATGCTCGCATGCCCACAGATATGGCTCCGCGGGCATATTTAGCCTTAAGAGAGAGAGAGAGAAAAAAGATATTTCCAAGATAGGGCGTAACATTTCCCTGAATGTACTTAGCAGCCATATGCCCCAAATTAGAGAGGGAGAAAAGAAGAAAAAAAATAATAATTGCAGCACAGATAACAAATGTGAAGTTTACAGTATGAAAGCATCAAGGTCCCTTCTCGCTCGCAGTTGTTGTCTGTTAATGACTGACGTGCCAAAGTTCCAGACTGCGGATCTCAAATCGTTCACACTTTTTAAGCAATGTTTGCAAACAGACAAATGGTACGACACAATTTCGGAGCATATCGGCTGGGGGCTTCAAGCTGTTGGGTTGGCTTCAAGGCGGCACCGTTTTCCTGCCTGCTGAACTCGCAAAGAACGAGCGAGTGCGTCCTCCTTCAGAAGTCTCACAGCTACAGAAAACGTCACGACCTACCAAGACGTTTTCTCCGGCCAATTTTTCAGCCCCGGGTTTCATCCGTGCCAGAAAAAAAACATGGTCTCTCATCAGCGCTAGAGAAACATGCATGCAAATCCCAGAAAGGACATTGATACACAACATCTCATCCATCTATAAATGTGCCGGGGAGGTACAAAAATATTGAGATGCGCAACCAGGTCCTATTAAAATAATTGGGTGACTTTCTAAAGCCAATGGGATATATTGCCTCTGTTTGGTAAATTCTCCTTTTTCCTTTGTAATTGGCATGCTGTGAACATTCTGCGGCAACATTAGAGCCCAGGGAGACCGAGGCAAACAAAACAAGAAGGAAACAGTGTTAATATGAAGTTTCTATCTTCAATTATATTTACTGTATCTTAGCAAATCTGATGTAATATTTATCTTTTTCTCCCAATACAAGTGGACCAGTGATGGGTTTCAAAAATTTTTACTACCGGTTCTGTGGGTGTGGCTTGGTGGGTGTGGCAGGGGAAGGATACTGTAAAATCTCCATTCCCACCCCACTCCAGGGGAAGGATACTGTAAAATCTCCATTCCCTCCCCAATCCGGGGGAAGGATACTGCAAAATCCACATTGCCTCCTGATCAGGTGGGACTTGAGAGGCAGAGAAGAGATGGGGGCGGGGCCAGTCAGAATTTTTACTACCGGTTTTCCGAACTACTCAAAATTTCCGCTACTGGTTCTCCAGAACTGGTCAGAAGCTGCTGAAACCCACCTCTGGAGTGGACTGACTATAGGTAGTTGTTGTGGTCTGCCGAGGGTCTGCAGAGTCAGACAGTGAGGAGGTTGGGGAGGAACATGGGCCAGTCCTGGTGTCTGGGGAAAGAGGGCTCTGCGCTGGAGGCAGAGAGGGGGCCAGGGCCATATGGGAGTTATGTGCTGCCTCCAGAGTCAGACATCAGCGAGGCAGAATAACAAGGGGAGCCTGTTCCCAATCCGCACATGCGCAGAGCTGTCAGAATGTAAGAACAATTAAAAGAGACGACTCAGGAGTAAGGCTTGGAGATGATTGGCTCCTCCCATAAAACATAAAGGAGGAGCAAAGGCACGTGAGCCTTTGCAGGAAGCAACTTTGTTCGTGCTGGTCGGTTTAAATTCTGAAGCTCCGTTTTGACTCTGTGCTCTGTGTGGCCTTGCAAAGCTAATTGCCAATTAGGTCTTTGGCAGCATGTCAAGGGAGATAAAGGAAGCCAAGGTCAGAACAGTAGTCCTCAATTTACAACAGTTCAGTTAGTGACGGTTCAACGTTACAACAGCATTGAAAAAGTGTTTTTTTCACACTTACGACCATTGTAACAGCCCCATGGTCATGTGATCAAACTTCAATCGCTTAGCAACTGGTTCATATTTATGACGGTTGCAACATCCCCATAGTCACATGATCAAAATTCAGATGATTAGCAACTGACTCGTATTTATGATGGTTGCAGTGTCCCGGGGTCATGTGATCCCCTTTTGAGACCTTCTGACAAGCAAAGTCAACGGGGAAGACAGATTCACTTAACAACCAGGTTACCCACTTAACGACTGCGGCGATTCACTTAAACAACTATGGCAAAAAAGGTCATAAAATGGGGCGAAACTCCATTAAACAACAGAAATGTTGGACTCAATTCAAGTCAAATCAAATCAATATAAATTTTATCCGTCGTTTATTATTTTATTCTAGCATTTTTAACTGGATATTCCTTGAGTGTGTTTTTATTTGTTCTGGTCTCTGGTCTTTGACTGTAATAAACTTGATTTGACTTGATTTGATTTGATTTGATTTGACTCAATTGTGGTCATAAGTCGAGGACTTCCTGCAGTTGTTCCCAGCTAAGCAAATGTCTACCTCGCAGCTATAAAATAAATATAAACTCTTAAGAAAGCCTATATTCAGATCTCCTGAACTTGTTTTTCAGCCTGTTGCATTTTACTGCTCTATACTGGATTAAAAGTTAAGAAGAAATGTTGTGCTAAAGGAGTTCCAAACTGTTGCTTTGGGGAAAAAAAGAATTTTAATCTTTGTCCCATCAATGCATTCCATCCTTGCAAATTCAGAAGTGCTTTTTAACTTTTAGCACCATTATATAAAGCGGGTGCAAGCATTAAGTTATCATCCCTTTTGAAATGCTGAGTTGCTACTCAGGGTGGTGAGTAACATTACTTTCAGTGTTAATCGCATTGGGAAATTTTGCTTTCCTGTACGTTGTCATCTTAAAACCCCAAATGCTAAACGTCACTTCTTCTTCTTCTTTTTTTTTTTCTTCTTCTTCTCTCCCGTCTTCCTTTCTGCAGAGAACAGCAGACACTGCCGGAGATTCTGAAAGGTAAGCCAACTCTTTATTTTTTTATTTTTTATTTTTAGACAGCAATGCTTAATGAAGGCTTTGACAATCTGGCCCTCGATTGGAGTCCTTGAGAACTTTTGTTACTTGCGAAGCTGATCTTGTTTTGCCAAATCGTAGTTAGGAAATAATGAATGGCTTTCACGAACCTCTCTGGGTTTGGAGAGGTTTGCGTGAAAACGAAAAAAATGGCATGAGAGAAACCGTGATAGAAAGCCATGTAATGGGAACATAATTTTGAAAAAGAACCAAAACCTGCAATTGCAAAGTAAAATGAAGATTCATTTTCATTTTCTCTTGACTTTTTGTCAACTGTTTCTGTTTTCAGAGGGGTAACTAAAACAAGTCCCAATGCTTTAACTGGGACTTGAATTTATTGAGGCTTTCATCGACTTTGATCTAATAAAATCTGTATCCAGGACAAACATTTGGATTACTGGATTGGATTGGATTGGATTGGATTGGACTGGACTGGATTGGATTGGATTGGATTGGATTGGACTGGACTGGACTGGACTGGACTGGACTTGGCTAGGCTAGGCTATGTTGGGCTAGGCTAGGCTAGGCTAGACTAGATTAGAAAAGTTTTGCACCAATTGAAATCTATGGCAAGTTTAAATCACGATTTGTTCTTTGTGGGAACAACTGTTGACTAACTGACTTTGGATCCAAGGTCTACATGGATTTTTTACACCATAATATTCTAAAAATCTCGGCTAGAGCATTTCATTCCGGCAATCTGCACACTTCAGTTGATTTTATGACTGTACTTGGATGTTGTTTTATATTTTGTACTCTATTTTAATATTTATATAAAGTATTTGTTTTAGCATATTTGGGGTTTTTTTTCCCCTGGTTTATTATTTGTTTTCCTGTTTTATACCCTTCAGAGAGAGGTTATTTCAGTTAGGTAGCCTTATAGATCTAGTCAATAAATAAATTTAAATTCTTGAAATAGAACTCCATGCAAATATTATTATATCTTTTTTTCATCCTAATGTTTTGGTCGGGTTAACTAGGTTCCCAATAGTTAGGGGAGAAATATCTTGATGTACGGAAATGCCCACAAGTTTTCCTTAGAACTTTGCCACACACACGTAGGCATACACACATACATAGAAAGAGAGAGAGACATTATGATTTCTATTATGTAACATATATATCAGATGTTTATTCCATAATGTAACATGTATGTATGTATGTATGTATGTATGTATGTATGTGTCAGGTTTCGAGGTCATCTCAAATAAATTGCATTTCAAACAAAGTCTTTGATGAAAAACTCCCATTTATTAAGCACCACATTCTAATTCCGACTCCATCGTAGCCAACACTGACTTCCTGACCCACAACCCTCCCTTTCCTTTCCCACTCCTCTGCACTCATTGGCCATCTTCCAAGTCACTCTACCCCTAATCTACTGCTCCAGCTCAAAGGAATTTCCCCCCTCCCATCCCATCTCCTAGGGGATATTATCTCCAGGGAAAATAAGTAAGTGAAAAATCAAACGTCCCTTTCCAGACACCTCCGCTTCTCCTTCTTATGTCAGCACTAGAGTAAATGCAGCTTGAAATACTGACATCATGTATGTATGTATGTATGTATGTATCAGTTTAGATATCAGAAGTTAAGTTATCTAGTCTGTAATGCCTCACCTTCTTTCAGGATTGATTTTGGATTTGTAACTAAAGTTTTCCAAAGATCAGAAAAATTCACGTAAAGTTGTCCCAAAGGAGTTTTTTCAAAAGGCAACTGGACTTTCTTGTTTTTTTCCTTGAAGACCTTTCGCTTCACATCCAAGAAGTTTCCTCAGTTCTGACTGAACTGATTCAGAACTGAAGAAGCTTCTTGGATGAGAAGGAAAACGTTTCAAGGGATTAAAAACCCAAGAGCAGTTACGCTTTGGGACAACGGTGACCTGGATGACTGAGAATCCCCAATTGACATTTATGCAAAGCTCTCTTGCTTTTGACATAAACTTGGAGAAATGTGCTGAAACGAACACTGGGTGGTAAGGGAGCATTTTTTGAAATGGGAAAATATCCATTTTTGCATCAGAAAATAGCAGTGCTGGTCACTGGCATTTTTTCCATTCCAGCAAGTGGAACGCTAACAATAATCAAGCCACACCAAGACCTTCTCTTGGTCTTAGTTGCATCTAGTAACAGCAACAGAGGTGGAAGGGACCTTGGAGATCATCTAGTCCAACCCCCTGTTCACACAGGAGACTTGTACTAGGGATTCGAACCTCCAACCTTTCTGATCGACAAGATCAGTGTCTTAGCCACTGAGCCACCTAGTCAGGCATATCGATATGCTTATCGGTGTCCTTTTTCTTATGGACTGATCCTTAAAGACGAGTGAAACATTCAGCAGTAATTTTTTTTTTCTTAGCAAGAACAGAACTTACTGGCCTTGCAAAAGCTTGAGCTCCATTAGGGATCATAAATATTTCAGAAACTTTTGTGAGAAAGAAATAGTTCAATGTACATTTTAGCTGGAACCCGTCTAGTGCAGAGTTCCAGAATTAGCACTCAAAGCAAAATGCTATCCATCACCTTTGTCCAATTTGCTCATTTTAAGTGTGTTTTATTTTTAAATGGCTCCATTAAGAAAAGTATAATACAATATATACCAGCCCGTTTACCCAGTATATGACCATGTTAGCATTTATTCTAGTAAATCAGTTCATTCACAATTTATTTATAATGTACTAAATATATATTTGCTGGAAGTGGCTGCTAAATTGATGGCAGACTTACCGCCCCCTCCCCCCCAGGGGTGGGCTTCAAAAATTTTAGCAAGGGGTTCTCTGCCTGGTTGCTGGGTGGGCGTGGCCATGATGGGCGTAGCCTAGTCGGCCTCCTGCACCATAGTGGGGGGGATGTTTTTGCCCTCCCCGGGCTCCAGAGGCTTTTCTCAAGCCTCCAGGAGGGCGAAAACGGCCTCCCCAGGCTCCGGAGGCCCTCTGGAGGCTTTCTCGAACTTCCAGTAGGCCCATTTTTCACCCTCCCCAAGTCTCCGCACACACCCTGCACCTACCTGCATCCAAAACAGGCCGTGTGGGGACTCCGGGGAGGGGAGGGGAGGGGTGGGGTGGGCAGGGCCAGTCAGGAGTGGGATTTGGGGGTTTTCCAAACTGCACAGAATCTTAGCTAGAGGTTCTCCTGAACCGCTGCAAACGGCCAGCAGCCCACTCCTGTTACCCCTCCCCCCTTGTTCTCTGCTCTCTACCCAACTATCTTTCTTTTTTGGTAGTCATGCAGTTCTACTAATGTTCTATTATCTTCCTTCTGTTCTCTTTACACTCTTTTCATTTCTTCCTCTTTATTGTTGTAAGCTGCCTGGAGCAGCCCCCACAGCGAGATAGGTGGCATGTAAATTTAACAACCAAATGAATGAAATAAAGACATGGCGTGCCGTGAGCCCTGGTGGCGCAGTGGTTAGAATGCAGTATTGCAGGCAAACTGTGCATTCCACTGCCAGCAATTCGATCCTGACCGGCTCAAGGTTGATTAATCCTTCCATCCTTCTGAGGTTGGTAAAAGGAGGACCCCGTATGTTGGGGGCAAGAGGCTGACTCTGTAAACCACTTAGAGAAGGCTGTAAAGCACTGTGAAGTGGTATATAAGTCTACAAGTTATTGCCCTTCCTTCCTTCCTTCCTTCCTTCCTTCCTTCCTTCCTTCCTTCCTTCCTTCCCAGTGGTTAGAATGCAGTATTGCAGGCTAATTCTTCCACCTGCCAGCAGTTCGATCTTGACCGGCTCTAAGTTGACTCAGCCTTCCATTCTTCTGAGGTTGGTAAAATAATGACCCAGATTGCTGGAGGCAAGAGGCTGACTCTGTAAACGGCTTAGAGGGGGCAGTAAAGCACTGTGAAGCGGTATATAAGTCTAAATGCTATTGTTATTGCTGTGTTACAATGTTGTGTATGTTATGCTAAACTGCATCAAGGCATGTATTAGGAAACGTGTGCAAGTTCTCATGTTCAGAAGCCACAAATAAGATCAAATCAAATTTAACGCTGAGCAATAAGAAATAGAGTCAATTCTCCCGCTGGTTGTATTGATACACCTGATTAATTCCAGCTTTCTATATGTTGTAAAAGAAATCTTTTATCTTTTCGAGATTGGCAAACACATTCCCTGTACCTTCGCCATTTCTCCATGGACATGCCCAGAAAACTGACCGCGAGGACTTATTTCATTTATTTCTGCAGGATATTTCATTTACTGCTCACCTTCCATCTCGGCAAGATGTGAAAAAGTGAAATTTGAGGGTGATGCGTTTGGACTTTCGACTTGTCCTTCAGAAAACCCCGGCCATGTCGTTCCTTTTAAGTGAAATGCAGTCCAATCCTCGATCCATTAACGCAGAAAGAAAAGCATCTGGGATCGAAGGCTGTCAGCAGGGATGTGGCTTCTTACTCTCAGTGTCAGAAGATGAAAAGAGGGGGGGGGAAATAGGCCGTGATGGATAGTTTATCAGGCCAAGTTTTAGCTTTTATGGCTATATCCAATTTCTTGGCAGGTTTAAATTCTCCGAGGGAATAGATGAGCCGTCTGAGTTTCTTCAGGCATTTTGTCACGTTAAGCAAAAGGAACAGAAGGGAACAGAAGCAAAGGCCATCGGATAGCGAAGTCCGAATTTAGCCTCAGTAGGAAAGGAAAGAGGCTAGATAAGCTACTATCTGATCACATAACCTTCTCATAACCCATATAGTCTAGGGAGGTGGTGGCTCAGTGGCTAAGATGCTGAGCTTGTCGATCGAAAGGTCGGCAGTTCAGCGGTTCGAATCCCTAGTGCCGCGTAACTGGGTGAACTCCTGTTACTTGTCCCAGCTTCTGCCAACCTAGCAGTTCGAAAGCACGTAAAAAATGCAAGTAGAAAAATAGGGATCACCTCTGGTGGGAAGGTAACAGAATTCCGTGCACCTTTGGTGTTGAGTCATGCCGGCCACATGACCACGGAAACATCTTCG